TTCCCGATTTAAACCGTCACGCATGTTTTGGGGATGGAATTGTCACTTTTTCCCACTCGCTTGAGAAAATGCTAAATTTTTTCTAGATCGACCTACGAGTATGAAATGCTCTGGTTATTCGTAGTAACTTGAAACACGTGTTCCAATGATGAATGGAATGTCAATGAACAACAAAACCCCAGAAAACTGGTATAATTGGTGAAATACTAATGCAGAAAAAACAATTAAATTCTGCACAGTGCAATCAATCAAATTCAAGTCTCATATTTGCTTATACAAAATATTTCTGAAAAAAAATATTAGTACGGTAGGTTAGTCAAATCTGAGGGGCCCAAAAAAGAAAACCTACTTTCCGAGGTTTTCAGCTAAGTAGCCTAGGGCTGATATAATGATTGGGACTAAAAATTAATTTGAGTTAGGAAGTAGAAAATTCCTGAAAAGTTTGAAGTGAAGAACCTACGTGACCCATATTATAAATTATGGACAATGTAAACAGAGGACACTTGAAATGTTGAAGTGAAAGAATCACAATCTATCGATGCAATATATATTTCAGAGAGAATAATTTTTCTCTGATGCATATTTAATGTTTGAATTCCATACCTTTTTTTGGACAATAATAGTTAACTTGAAAATAGGGGAACACTTTTCGGTGCAATTTAACATTTCCGACGTCTTCAACAATGTCAGATCGAGACATCAGACTTCAAATAATTCGTGTAATCTCCCCCCTGTGCAGGTTTCCCCTTTATAAAACAGAGGCATTGAAAGTCTTTGATAAACCCCCGTAAGAACATCCCACTCTCGGAAATGACGCCTTCAAAACTGCGTCAGACTGTCTCAGACACAGTCCCTCTTTCCCCCCATTGAAAAGAACCCTTCTCCACAGTATAAGAGAGGGTATATTCAAGGCTGTGGGATCTGCACAACTGGGCATGCGCCAATTTTCCGAGCAAACTCTCTTGTAAGCAGGCACCAGATTTGGTTGCACGTGAAAAAGGTAGGTTTCGGCAGCTGTTTCTTTTTTTTTTTTTTAGTAAAGGATTGAGGATATTTTTGGTCCGCATACAGAACGTTTAATTTAATATCAATAACTGCCCTTGAGTAAGATACTCGCCTCTATTTTTGGTCTGATATTTGCCCAAAATATATTCCCACTCAAGACATACACAGCAACCATTTGGTTGGAAATTCATTTTTTTAATCGGAAGATTTAACAAAATAATCTCTTCAATAAATACCAGTGTTCCTCTCTATAATGATCTTGTCTCTACAATGATTTTCTTGGTACAGTATAATGATTTATTTTTGGGTCCTACAGCAGGGTTTTCTCCCCATGTAATAGAGTTTATCAACAGCAGTGTTACCCTTTTTTTCTGGGGATGCAGTCCAGCAAATTAAAATAGAAGCATTTTCTGGACTGGAAAGTTTTATAAAATGTATACATAGTCAAAAAGTTTTTTTGAAAGACTTTATGGCAGGTGCTTGAAAAGTTTCTGATATTTTGCAAAAATCACTTGAGCAGCTGTAGTGGAATGTCTTTAATTATTAGAAAGGTTGACCCTTAAGAAGGGCTTCTCATGAAAAAAATAAATGTGAAAAAAGTGTTTCAGCAGGCTAAAATTTGTGTGATGTGTTATTAGGTAAAAAGCCAACTTTTAGTTTTCATCAGATAATTCAAAGTGCCATGGTTTTTCCAAAATTTCAGATACAGACCACAAAATTTATTGTTTCTTTTCTTGTGTGTATTATGTCAAAGAAAATTGCCTGCAGACTGACAAAAAACTTCTGTAGACTAGTGTTTGTCCACACGTAGACCACAATTTGGGGGACACTGCTCCATACAGCATAATTCTCTCTAAAATAAGCTTTATTCTGGTCCCATGTATTTTTTTTTAGAAAGAATCCCCTGTATAATAACAGAGAGAAGGTCAACACTCTCAACAGGATTAGCATGGTGAAGAAGAATTCCTTGCTTAACAATTTCACCTACGGAAAACCACTTATTTTGACTTCCACCTTTATTCCATAATTTTTTCAACTTCAAAAAGGTATACCTCTTTGTACCAAGCACCAAGAATTTTTATGAATTGATTTTTCGAAAAAAAAGTGCACCTGTTACTCGCGTAATTAGGGTAATTTTTTCGTCTGGTTGCGAAATTTTCCCGCCATTTGTGAAAAGAGCTTGTAGATGAGCAACCATAGTGGCTGCCTTCAAAGCTGCTGCCTGTCTTCCTGCTGGCCCAAGTATATAGCCCAGGCGTCACCGACGGCGCGGATCAATCCCCGCTCTGCAGCCGGGCTGAACTGAACCTAACTTATACAAGAAACCATCTGGAACATATGGTATTCCTTATTGTGAACAGTTTTTTTTTTATATTCCGTGAATAAGTGATCCCCTGGAGTGTGTATTTTTTCCCTTGATGAATCATCAGACCATAGCATTGATTAATAATCGGGCTTATCAAAGTACAGCGACCCGAAATTAACGTGTTTTTTTTAACCGAGAGCGATTATCTATACGAATATACATATAAATATATATCGGCAAGAAATCTTTCTAAAACTTTCGCTATACCTGGTTCAAATGACCTTGAGTTTGTAGATTTTTTAAATGCTATATGTGTTCTACACAACGCTGAATATTTTTCTTCAAATGAGCACGTCTGATCAAAGAAAAAACCCGTTCTTTTATTTGAAGAAACAATATACATTTTCAAACTTTTTACAGTAAACAAATATTTTTGAAAATTTAGGCAAAAATTTTGCCAGAGCTTATTGACGGAAAACGCAAGATTATAAAAGTGTTGGAGCAGATTTGCTCAATCCAGTCCGTTATTCTGTTCCATCGGAAAATTCCTCAGAATATTCCCACGGGGCAAAGAATTTTCTCCTACGTTTCCTCCATGAAGGTCGCTCTCATTTTTATTGCATCACTTTGATTCATCTCCTGCTTCAACCCCCCCCCCCCCAAAAAGTGTATGAATCGCATATTTCCAGCAGAACAAGTTTGGACTCAAATCACAAATTTTCAGTGTCTTTCATTTGCATGCGCAATTAAAATTCAATCCCCGCTTTGCTCCTGAGATGAACTGAACCTGTCTTATTCAAGAAATTCATTGGATTATTTGGGATTACTTATTGTGAACTATTTCTTATATTCGGTGAAGTGATCCCCTGGAGTGTGTTTTTTTTTTTACTTGATCAATCATCAGACCAACAGTGATTAATAATTGGGCTTATTGAAGGAGAATCGAATTATGAGTACCCGCAATTAAAGTGTTTTTCAAGTGAGAGCAATTATCTGTATACATATGTATACATCAACAAGAAATCTTTCTAAAACTTTTGCCACATGGTTCCCATGACCTTGAGTTTTTAGATTGGATAAATGTTCTATGTGTTCTATACAAAGCTGAATATTTTTCTTCAAATGAGCAAGTCTTCAAAGAAAAAATCGCAGTCTTTCAAAATCTTTTTCTTATTTTGCTGATTTTTGCGAGTTAAATGGGTCTCTAATTAGATCAGGAAATTGAATTCTACCCGTGAAAACTGGCGTTTCTCGGTCTCACGGTATTTTTTTTTCCGCAAAGGAACACAAGTTTATTGGAGATAATTAGCATAATAATGAAAGACAGAGACGAGTACTGTAATCCACAACTGAAAAATGGAAAATGGAAATATTTCACTGGACCAAGCTCTTTTCCTCTTGTTAAATTCCGTGTGAAAAACCAAGCTACGTAAAAAAAAAAAAAACGAATGCTAACTTTCACCATAGACGCGGGAATCACTTCCTTTTTCTATTATTAGCTGAAATAATGGGGCGAATGTTGGTTAACGAAAATAAAAACCGCGTTCAACTATTTATTTTCTTTCTGTTCGCTGAATGAATTTGCCATGGTTATTTCAGTTACTATATACTTTCTCGCTTCCGGTTTCATAATCTTTGTTTACTAACGGAATATTCGTCGTATTTTGAAATGAGAGAAGGGATTGCTGCGTTTGTGGTCAAAGATTAAACTTGGCTTATATCTTCTTATCAGGTCTGATCCTTTTTTATTTTCTTTATTCTCAGCAGATACTATGGGTGAAATGCCGTGATTACAGATCGCGGAAACTCGTCATTTTCCGAGAGCTTCTGCTCTTGTCGAAATACACGTCTTATTGATTGCCCGTGAGAGAAAACAAATACGCATTGATTATGGGTCACGCGCTGAAGAACTTTGTTCAGCATGTGAGACTGACAGTGTTTCCGTTTTGGCGGACTTACGTGATCGTCTTGGCTCCTTTGTTGCCCATCAGTCTTCTGCTGAATCACTACGAGAACACGGTAAGAATAATACTTGCCCGAAAAGTCCTGGTGATCTTATTCGACTTGATAAGATGCACTCGGCGATAGTAAATTTTATGAGTAAAATAACTAGATAAATGGCCTGCCTTGCTGAAAAGCAGTTTCTCTGAGAGAAAAATTTTGTATTCGCATATAGCAGCTTGATTAATCCTATACATTGGCAGGAAATTGAAGAAATGCCTTTCCCTAAGAGAATTAAATTTTCTTGGCATTTAAACAGTTACATAACTTACCATGCTTGAATTTAATTTTGCTTTAAAACCAGATGATTCCAACTGATGCCGTGGGAGTCTATAAAATCCCATTTACTTCATGGAATAATTATTAGTCAATTTTCTTTTTTATAAAATTGTATTCCCTAATAAGACAAGCGCCTCATTTTTAAATTTTAAAACTGTTATACAGTATTTCAAAATCTAAGAACATATAAATTTTAATTTAAACATGAATAGATCCTGAATTCAACTACAGTATTTGCAGAAAGTTTTTTTTGCTTGAAATTGGTCCAAAATTTTCCATTAAAATAAAAAAACAGTCAACCCAGCACAATGGACTGAATTCATGCAAAAGACTAGTCTGTTGTGTGAAAAGTCTGTTGTGCAAATTCAATCAATAAAAATTAAAATTTAACTTAATAAAATTAATTTCAAGTTTAAATAATTCTGTTATGTGGATTTAGTCCATTGCGCAGGAGGGAAAACTGCTTGCAGAGGCAGTCTGTTGTGCGGAAGGTCCATTGTGCAGGGGTTCACTGTTCTGTATGTTGCATTCCTAAACTTATAAAACTTGGAAAAAAAGTATACAATGCCTATGATGTGCACCCCTTTTTCCCTTTAAATTTTGAGAAAAAAGGTGCACCTGGTATTTGAGTAAATATGGTATCTTTACATTAATTAGGCATAAACAATATGATACTGAATTTGAGAAACTTGACTTTGAGCAGGAATGTGCTTATTCTCTTAGGCTGCAAGATGTGCATGGGGTGTCATTGTGATGAGCATCTATTGGATGACAGAAGCTGTTCCCCTGGTTGTCACAGGAATGCTGCCAGTCTTCATTTTTCCAGCTCTGGGTCTCATTGACTCTGACACTGTTTCCAAACTCTACTTGACCAAGTCGAACATGCTGAGACTGAGTGAGTTAGTAACTGTTTTAGAAAGGTACTAAGAAGATGAAATTCGAGACTCACTTTGTTTATCCTCAGTCATGTCCAAAAGTCTTCGTAGACCAAAAACATTCAATATGGACCTAGAACACATATGTTATAATTGCATGTAAATAACAGTTGTTCAAGAGGAAATAAACAATTGAATTATTTGCTAGAATACTTCAGCATAATACAGTTTAACCTCAATAAATCAAACCTACTTTGGTTAAATACGTCATATTTTGAATTATCTTCCAATCTCTTTCAGAATTCCCTTAGGAACAATTCAGTAAAAACCTTCTCCAGGTGACTCAGAGGCTTTCCTCCTCAAACCTCCACATGTATCAGTTTTTCCGGAGGCCTTCAGTCTTGTTTTTATTTACACAGAAAAGAAATAAAAATGCAAAAATTTACATAGCATTTTTACATAAGGAAAAGGAAACGCTTAATTGGGCAAATTAAGCCTTGCCTCCAAGTTCAGCATCTTACCAACTCCTTCAAGAAGCAGTTCCAGAATATCACCAATTACAATTTCTTGTCTATTGTCTTTCTTTCCCCAACAGAAATGGTTGTTTCTCTTACTCAAAACTTCCTCAAGTCGATTTGTTTGCTGTTCCCTAGAAGTTTTCGAATGTTATTTTATATCGTATTAAAAACTTAAAACTAAGACGTTGGGAGCTAATAAATCTACCAAAAAGTTAAGTCATATAAAGTCAGTTTAACTCAACTAGCACCTTAGACTTTAGTTTAAATAGACAAAGAAAAAAATCGAAGAAGGTCAATTCTCATCTGAATACATAACGTCCTTTGAAACAAATGAATACATTCATTCTCTTTACTTTTTATATTCCCAAAAAATAAATTACCTGCTCAATAAAAATCCATCCTGGAATGATTGAGTGTGTTCAAATGAGTCTAGAATTTTTTTTTTTGCGTCTCGTTTCTTATCTGTGGAAGAAAAAGGATCTAGAAAGCATTACTGTATTATTTATTTGTCAAAGAGTGACCTTTTCGATTGCCACGAAACTTTCCTTTTGTCTGTCGGATAAATGTGACAGTAACGGGGGATATACTTCCAGAGACAGGAAGTGCTAGGCATTCAAATCCTAACCTTTATAAACTTTTCTTGGTATCGAGAACTCTTAAAAGCTGGGCTCAAGGCACAGGTACCACTTACTACCTGCAAGGAGTCTCAGAGCTGAGCCGGAATCAAACATCAGCAACCAGTTCAGCTCTAGTTGCTGACCTTGATCACAGACAGGTGTTTCCGGGTTGCTACCAGCATAGATTCAAAGATAGATCTCCTCAGAATACCAAGTAGAAAAGAAGAAGAAGAAGGGGAGGGGGCGATGTCCCCTTGTAGAATAATGCAGGAAAGTTGCGATATTTCTTTCCTTTTTTCGTCTTGGTGAATGCAGTGAAATTCCAGTATGGCGAATCTCGTTTTTCAACGACTTTTAAAGAAGGGGAGGGGGCGATGTCCCCTTGTAGAATAATGCAGGAAAGTTGCGATATTTCTTTCCTTTTTTCGTCTTGGTGAATGCAGTGAAATTCCAGTATGGCGAATCTCGTTTTTCAACGACTTAACGAATTGTCATTAAAGGAGGTAACAACTAAACACCAAATTACGTCATTTGAGCTCAATGTTGCTAAGATTATCGCTAAAAAATTTATTTTTTTAAAGGGAACCCAGGTTCGTAAAAAAAAAGTATGGGACTCTGGTGTTGGTGTGAGAATTTTATTGTATTTTAACAAATTAATTTTTCTGCATAATCTCAGTGTAATGAATTTTTCTTTGATTATGCATGCAAGAACCACATAAACTTTCACTGTAATGACTAAAATTTGGGACACCAACATGTGCATAATTGAAAAATCTTCAAAAAATATAAAAACAAATCTTTGATTCGTTCAAAAAATTTATTTTTGCAGGAAATAAAAAAACCTTTAATCAAAATCAATTAATTTTGCTTGATTTTAAAATTGAGAAATAATGGCTACTTTAAAAAATGTTTTGAAGTATATTGCAGATAAAGTCTCTTGTGTGTATATAACTACTTATTTACGAGTAACAGTTGTACATAAAAAACAAACGAAGTCGGTCACGAAGACATTATGTCATAAACATGTAAAAATTTTATTTTAAACGTCCTTTTGTAGGTCTGAAATAAGAGAATTGTAGCCTCCTTTTTAAATTTTTCATCAAAAGAAGTTGTAAATTATGTCAATTCCACACAGATTATAACCAGCAAGAATACCATTAAAAAAATCGTTTTCATTATAACAAATTTTTTCTCAGGTCCCTGAGGGTTGATTGTGATGAGATTTTACTGTATGTAATATGCGTTTCTTTTCTCTACCTTATAGCTGGCTTGATGGTGGCAGTGGCAATAGAAAACGTCAATCTCCACAAACGGATTGCACTCAGGATTATCCTTCTGACCGGAACTTCTCCTAGAAGGTAAAATGAAGAGCTGGCTTAAGGATGGTGGCGTAACCCACCTGGTGGCTACTAAATCCCCCTAATCCCTGGCCCCTATATTCATGTCATTGTCCCTGTTGGTTGACCCTTTTTTAACCCATTGTCCCCACTTTTTGGTGGGTCAGCTTCTTCCAGTTGTACTGAATGAAACAAAGTCAATTTAAACGACTGTAATGTTTTTAAACTTTCCTGAAAGTTTTATAATTTATTTCCGAACGCCGAAAAAATCGATCCCAAACAGCATACATTATGTGTTTGTATTAACTTGTAAAGGTGGTCCAATCCTGGTTTTCATTCTAAGGCTCACTTAAATTAGGGAAACTGGCCATAAAACTGTCGTCGAGAATTTTCACGCACTTGTATGAGAAGCATACTGTATATTATTATTTGATATCGATTTTTTCGGTTTTCTCAGCAGAATTATGAAATAATGTTATTTAAATGCTTTATTCAAGTTTTACAAACATAATACCGTCGTTTCACTTTTCTTCGTTTCATTCGGTACAAATGGAAGAAACTGACCCATCACAAGTGGGGCCACTGGGTTGAAAAGGGTCAACCATGCAGCAGGGACAATGACATGAATACCGGCCGGGTATTAGAGGGATTCAGTAGCCACAAGGTGGGTTTCGCCATCATCCCTACCAATAACGAGCTGGTCACTGAGTAAAACAAAAACGGCTTATTATATTGAGAAAAACGTGAGGATTACTGCTTAAATCCTTAGGGTTTCCATCCGTCGGTTTACTCGACAGCAATGGTGTCTCATCGTATATACAGATATGGATTCGTTCATTTGTATTCCCAGAATAATGCTTGGCTTCATGCTGTCTGCTGTGCTGATTTCCATGTGGATCTCCAACACGGCAGCATGTGCTATGATGGTGCCGATTGTTCAAGCCGTTCTTGAAGAGATTTACGGCCGCAAAGATGTGAGAGCGACACCTGTTGAAACATTGCCGATCTTAGCCTTCAAAAATCGTGCATTCCCCTTACTACAATCAAACCTCTTTAAATCGAACTTCACGGGACCAGCGAAAAATTCGATTATGGATGCCTTGAGTCAGGGAAACAAACATTTGTGTTGCTGGGTTGAAAGAATTAAGAATCACAGGAAATTGTAATTTGTGATATTCTGGGCTTTTAAATTGCTTCTTAAATGGGCTGACAGGATGCTGAACTTGACTTCATTTGCAAAATGAGTCTTTTATTTTTTTTAAACATATTTTTCATTTTAATTGTTTGTCCCTCTTCCCTGTATCAGTTAATAATTGGCATTATGCCTCTCCAGAAAATTACTTATATGGGAGGTTTGAGAGGAAAAAACCCTTGGAGTTTAGGAGGATTTTAATTCATTGTTTTGAAAGAATTCAGACAGGGACCTGAAAAAATTGAAATCTAGGGCAATACAGTTGACCTCCTCACAATACAGACCTAGTTCATGCAACAGACTAGTCTGTTATGTGAAAAGTCTGTTGTGCAAATTTGTTTTTCCTATATGTTTACACTACTTGTGCAAAGCAAGCAATAAGATTACAAGCAAAACAGCTAAAAAATACAACAATCACACATTCATGGCAATAATAATGACATTTTATATTCAAATTAAGTTGGCAAGCAAGCAAGGGTCTATACTGAGGGACTCATGTTCATTATGAATGAATGAACAGAAAACTTTATTTGCCACTTTTCAGCGTTCACAAGGCATAACCAGAACTCCCGCATCCAAACCCCCTCCCCACCCAACCCAAACTGCATCCAAACCCCCTCCCCACCCAACCCAACTCCCCCAAATACATTCAATCATTTCAAAGCATGAAACAAAGCACAAACAAATGACAAAAATAAAAGAGAACGCACTCCACAAAATAAAACTGGACATCCTAATAATCCCTAATGTTCATTATTGGTGTGCACTTCTACAAGGTGAAGTCTGTTATGCAGATTTGTACGTTATTATGTAAGAGAGAAAAACTTACTCCAGAGGCAGTCTGTTCTGCAGAAATATGTTGTAATGGAGGTCTGTTGTGTATAGGGGTGGATTGTATTTTACTCATGGAAGTGCAAGTTCTTGAGGTTCAGCTATGATTTGGAAGTTTTTTATTTTCAAAAAAACCATAAAATATTTTTTTTAATGTCAAAAATTATCGTGAAATTCCTCTTCAGCTGACATCAAGAGACACAGTGCTTCCTGAAGTGGCAGACGGACTTTTCTCTCACCACTCAGAATACAGAAAGGAGGCGATGGACATTGAAGAAGAAATCGGTCATCTTCGAGACTCCAACTCGATGCAAATTCTGAATAATATGAATTACGACGGGAAATCTTTCTCCGCAGACGCAGTCAAAGTGACTGTGCGCAAAGAAGACAGTGAAAACAACAACAATGCGTATGCAAACGGCCAGAAATATTTTCGTTTGCGAAGTTGGAATGTAATTTTTTTTTATTCAAGTGAGGAACTGAAGAAGAGGTACCACACTGCCAAAATCGGCAATTTGTTGGCAATCTGCTTCGCTTCCAACCTCGGAGGAACTGGTGTTGCCACAGGAACTGCCCCAAATCTCATCCTTATTGGCATTTTAGACGCGTAAGTCAATTATTTCTAAAAGCTCACAATAGCAAGCATCGGCAATCGAAGGAAATATAATGAGTCAACAATACCCTTACGTTTGAATAAGTTACTTTTAAATATAAACCACAAGAAATGACGAACAATCGAAACGCTGTGACAATTTTTTCAAAATTTATCTATGTATTTCAATGACGCTGATTGATTTTCTTTTTACAGGTTGTATGATCAAACACAGTTGAATTTTGCAACCTGGATGTTATTCAACGTTCCCGGGATGCTGCTCATTATATTTTTGGGATGGCTTTGGCTTCAAGCCTATTTCTTCCAGCTAAAGCAAGTATATTTCTTTCGAAGTTTATCCCACGCAAAAACCATGAGAAATCAATGAAACATCTCTTTTGTTCAACTTCATCGCATCGCGTGACGAAGCAACTTTCTGGTTACGAAAACCTGTGAAAAAACGAGATTTAGCCTAGGGGCAATTTTTTAGTGCCTGGCTCAATATCCCAGGGTCATTCTGGCCTGTATAAAAGGGCTGTGCATCAGGTTCAGATGGAGAATCAGTCTATCCTCTCGATAAGTCCCGTTTCATGTAACGATTTAGTCTTGATTCAGTTTTACTTACATCTTCGGTCTTCTTATGGTTCCCTTGAAGGTTACTCATCAGTGTTCTACCGTGTGTCTGTGACTTGAAAGCACAATGATATGAGTTCGTGATGCATTTAAGCTTCCTCAGAAAAGAGTTTGAGGGTCTACTTTGGTCCCATTCTGAGGTCTGTAATTATTTTTAATCTTTGGGTAAGCTCCTTAATTTTTTTCCAACCTTATTTCCCCAGCCCCATAACATTAGTTTCATTTGAGTGATAATATTCAAGTATTAACTGTGTAAAGTAAAAGGAAATTAATTTCATTATTTATTATGGTTAAATTCATGTGAGATATAAATATCTTGCCCTTGGTGACAAAACGTATTTTCACTTGACCTTGGTTAAACTTTCTTATTCATTACAGTGATGGAGAAGAAATCTTGATCAGTTGTAAAATGTAATTCAGAAAGCATGTGCAACTTGTTATGTTTCTTAATTCCTCCTATTTTAGTCGAGTCCCATTCCTTGGTTTCCGTAATTTTGAAGTCTTGTTAGGCCATGTTACCTTGAAGCAAAATTCTTCGTAATTGATCGATTTTCGTTTGAGTGTTAAAAAATCCTTGCTTGCTATTATGGAGAATTTTCATTCATCTATGAATTTCTATTTTAGGCAAGTTTCGCAAAAAATACTGTTTCCTGGAAATAAATCACTATATTGACTACCCACGTGTAACACTGAAGCAGAAAACATTGTTTTTTGAACTTTTGCTCATTAAAAGTTTTATTTTAACCCCAAACTCTGCCAAAAACGCACTGCAGTAGTGCAGACCTTTCAGCAGCACGAAAAAATTGAAATAATATCTGAGTTGCAAAAAATATTCAGTAAAGATTAGCTTCAGTATGTTGTTACTTGAGTACTTGACTGAAAAGCTTGTCTCAAAATTTACAAACACTTATGGAAAGTGCCTTGAAGGAAGGAAACGCATTACAGCAAATTTTTTTTTTCTCTTTGCAGTTAAAATTACTGATATTCTCAACTCCAGTAAAGTCGACCAAATTTCCATAAATATCATTTTCTGCACTGCGTTAAGAATGGAAATTGAATATCGTGTGTTGTGAATTTCTTTTTTTTCACAGAATAGCAGACGTGATGAGACTGTTTCGCACACCAACAAATGTGCCAGAAGATGTTCGGCGGCGTTGGGAGGAAGAAGCTGATGCCGAGGTCAGGGCTCGACATGTCATTCGAGCTCGGTACGACTCCTTGGGTCAAATCAGGTTCGAGGAGGCCATGGTCCTGTTTCTCTTCATCATTCTTGTCGCGTCGTGGGTCTTCAGGTCACCGCAATTCGTGCCTGGCTGGGCCCACTGGTTCCAAGCGTGAGTGAACATTTTTTTTTTTCTGCTTGAATAAAAACTGACATCTATACTACTTCAATTTAATTTCGTTTTCTTCGTGCAGGGACGTCAGTGAAGCGTCTACATGTGTGATGATCATTTTCCTCATGTTCATAATTCCGAAGAACCCGTCGTTTCCGTTCTTCACTGGCGTGAAGGACAAAGATAACCCACCCGAAGCTTCAAAGGGGCTTTTGAACTGGCAAATTATCCACGAAAAAGTCCCCTGGAACGTCGTCATTTTAATGGGTAATTCAAAGCTTATAAAAATTACGAAAAGCACATCAAAATACATGGCGTGAGATTTAATAGAAAGAGTTTCCACGGTTCTTCCGTGATGTCGAGATGATGGCGCGTGTTTTGCTTTGAACTTCAGTCTTTGAGTGACATCTAGGTGGATTTATTGTGTTTTGATAGACTTGCAAATGTTTTGATTTGTGTAGGCGGCGCCGTCGGTATGGCAGAGGTGTGCAAAACGAGTGGTCTCACCACAACTGTTGGTGAGCAATTTGGGCGCCTCGACTATTTATCGCCGCCGGTTGTGCTGCTAATTATGACCACAGTGACGGCGTTCCTCACTGAACTCGCTTCGAATGCCGCCACGGCGTCCATCGTGCTTCCAATCCTCCATTCCCTGGTTTGTTGCGTCATGAAGTTTTTTTTTCTACGTAGAAACGTTTTTTGAATTTTACGTCATTCCATCGAAATGCTGTGACTAATTGCAGGGTCTTTCGATAATTTCCTGCATGTCTAAATTTTCCAGTCGATGCAAATGGGAGTCAATCCTTTGTACTTCATGTTGCCAGCGACAATCACGACGTCGTACTCTTTCATGCTTCCAGTGGCAAATCCTCCAAATGCCATCACTTACACAGCAGCCGGCAACATGAAAGTTTCAGACATGGTAAGTGAACTCACTGTTGCTGGATTGATAATCGCTACGTACTATAATTCGAAAAAGCAATGAAATCATGTGTCAGAGTGAAAATAATTCATGGGCTTATAACCGTAAACTAGCAAACAAAAACAAAAAAATGACGAAGGCAAACTTTAAGGTTATTATCGATCCTGGCGTACCGCATTTTTCTGCATCCGGGGGACCGATTTTCTTTTGTCAGAAAAAATTTATTCCATGATGGAAAAAATTCTAAACTGAGTCGATTGAATGAACAGCTAAAGTGCTGAGAAGACTGTGAGTAATTTCAATTATGAAGTGTCCTCCGCTAAATTTTAGCGGATTCACGAAAGGAAAATTCAAAATTCCGATGAAATCTGACATTTTGCAATATTACCAAATCATATTTTGGATGGATTTGGAATCTTTTATAAGAAATTTTATTTGAAAAGCTTTTCGCACTCGTCCGGAGGATTCGTACTGCTTGTCTTCTCATATATAGAGGGCCCCGACATACGGACACCTCGAGATACTGACTTTTCGATGCATGTTTACACTTCAAACTGATTTCATAACTTCAAATTCCCACGAAAAATACATGATTCATTGGCAATATTGTATGTTGATATTTCTTTAACAAATTGAGCTGATTTACGAACAAAAATGAAGTACAGTGCAATCCTCATCAACTCTAATTCGTATCGTACTCCAGAACAAACTAATTTTGTGTACCTCTTGAGGATTTTTCCATCTATTGTGTACAGTTTTTGCGTTTTGGACTCCATTTTGGGTTTGACATGTACTTGCTGGAGTCTTCTCAGGGAACTCGTGGTGTATTCAGGAATGTGAATTCATCCTTAATATCAACGTTAGCTCTATTGCCGTTATTTGTCTCTGTGTAATGCGTTTCAGTCTGACCCAAGGTCTCTGAAATGTGCTCAGATTGCAAGAGCAAGTCAAGAAAAATCTTAGGAAATGTGAATCCTTCTGTAAAGTATTACAGAATCTCTAATGCAATCTTATGAAGGAATTCCTGAAAAAAGCCACCCAGTGAGGAATTTTATTTTCATAATGGTCAACATTTTCTTCAGGATATAAGAACAATTTTGGACTCTTTCCCAACTTGGGCCTCCGTGCAAACATTTTTTTAAATTCAACACAAAATGTCGCAAAAATATCTGGACTTTGCCGCACATCAAGGGTTACGTGATTGAAACTAATAAAACTAACCCTAAAAATACTGCCCTTTCTGTTTCAGCCCAAAAATACAGTTAGACCCCCACATGCAGATGCCTCAACCTGCAGACAATTTGACATAGAGACACTTTATTTTCCCAGAAAAAATCAAATAAGGCCCAACATGAGGATACTGACTCAACATAGGGACATTATGTGATGAAATTTCAAATACATTTCAGGTCAAATTAAAAGAAAACATATTTCCTACCCTAAAATTTATGTAAGAAAAGTTCTTGGGCATTTCTCTCACCAAATTACCATCCATTTAGCTAATTTAAAAATTACCTCCAGGATAGAGGGACTTCTACTTTTTTCATTTGAATGTTATATTTTAGATGCCAAAAATTTCAGTGTACAACTATTCCATGCTCTAAATGTTCTTATTAAGTTGGAAACGTATTCACTAATTCAAATTCAAGCAACAAACAATTTTTTCAGGGAATTCTGAAGGAATATTTCTTCCATAAAACACCACATTAAAAATTATATTAATAAGTCTATGGGAAAAGCAAGACTAGACTTGGGGACATTTCAACTTGGGGACACTCTTGCTGCATCAATTACTTGGGCATCTTGGGGTCTCACTGTATTTTCCGGTTATTCGCTAACAATTTGCCGTTATATT